ACCAGAGCAGAGATCCCCCTGCAGCCCATGGAGAAGACCATGGTGAGGCAGGCTGTCCCCCTGCAGCCCATGGAGGAAGGATGAGGGGGTGTAGAGATTCCACCTGGATGACCCCACGCTAGAGCAGGTGGAGACACATGAAGGAGGCTGTGACCCCATCGGAAGCCCATGCTGGAGCAGGCTCCTGGCAGGACCTGTGGCCCTGTGGAGAGAGGAGTCCATGCTGGAGCAGGTTTGGTGGCAGGATTTGTGACCCTGTGGGGGACCCATGCTGGAGCAGTCTGCTCCTGAAGGTCTGCACCCCATGGAAGGGACCCACGCTGGAGCAGTTCATGAAGAACTGCAGCCTGTGGGAAGGACTCACATTGGAGAAGTTCATGGAGGACTGTCTCCCGTAGGAGGGACCCCAGGCTGGAGCAGGGGCAGAGTGTGAGGAGTCCTCCTCCTGAGGATGAACTGATCACAACCCCCATTCCCCGTGCCCCTGTGCCGCTGGGGGAAGAGAAATCGGGAATGAAGTTAAGCCCGGGAAGAAGGGAGGAGTGGGGGGAAGTGTTTTAAGATTTGGTTTTATTTTTTCATTACCCTACTCTGCTTTGATTGTCAATAAATTAATTCTCCCAATTCGAGTCTGTTTTGCCCGTGAGGGTAATTGGTGAGTGATCTCTCCGTGTCCTTATCTTGACCCATGAACCTTCTGTTGTATTTTCTCTCCCCTGCCCAGCTGAGGATGGACAGTGATAGAGTGGCTTTGGTGGGCACCTGGTGGTGTGACAGGGTCAGCCCACCACTTGAACATAAACACAGTTCGGATTTAATGTCTCGCAAAATCTTCATTTTCTGAAGAATTCTCGTATCTGTAGTCCTTTTCTAAATTGAATACAGCTTTTCTCATATATTCTACAACAACAGCACACCAGAGATGATATTTCCATGGAAAAGCTCTAGCACAATATTGGCTGTATAATCTTGAATATGAGCCTAAGTATACACGACTGTTTAAAACACAAATTTTACATGAAGCTGGAAGGGTCATTTAAAAATACTCCTACATTGCAATGAAAACTCAGCATAAGTCAGCTGAGCTTTATCCTTCTTATACCTGCTATCTTAAAAAATGCTAGAATTTCTGATGCAACACAGCAAGTTCATATATTTTATTATATATTACTAGACATTGAGAAGTTTTTACATCGTGATAAGGAGAGCAACAAAAAACACTTTTCCACTAAACTATCATTGCATCAGATATTACAGTTTACATGAATATCCCACAGATTACCCAGAAAAACTTGGCTGGTTTTGCAACGGTTTGCCACACATCCCTGTGGTAGCATTGTTTTAATACAAGATTACGTGGCATACAGCCATGAATCCAAAAAATCCCAACAGTGCATTTATTATGCAGTGCATGAACTGGTACAAAACACTGTCGTAGGTGTTTTGTATGGGCACAAATGCTGTGCCACACCACCACATCTCAGTTACTGTTTGCCACTGTTTATAAAGAGGTGGCTGCTTCCTTCCATAAAATAACTAACGGTAATAGAATTACGCAAATATTTACAAAGGTAATCCAGTGTGAAACACCGCATGTAAAAGCAAGCAAGTTTTTTTGGACGGTGTCTTTTTTCCTTTAGAGGGTTCTTTACTTTGTCAATATAAAGAACAAAATAAGTCTGTCAGGAAACTGCATTTGTTATCAGCTCATTCTCCTTAGATGGCAGGACTGTAAATATTTTTCTTCATTATCACCCTGACAGTAAATAACTTTGCAGGTGTGATTTAATCAATAGGAATGCCATGATTTCACAATTTTTGGCCTACCTTAAAGAAAATGAGTAATAGAGAAACCCATGTACCAGGAAGCAAATGAGCAGAACTGGTGAACTAAGGTCTATCAAGCAGGGTTCAAGATCATTTGGGTTGGATGACAGTTGATATATTTGCACTACAGTTCATCTGTT